TAAAACTTTAATAAATAAAAAAATCAAGTTTTTTTTTAAACAAACTTTTACAGCGAATTAATTATTAAATTGCGTTTATTTTAATTAAAATAAGAGTACAAATATATTAAAATAAAAATTCTATTTTAAAAATAAAATCTTTATATATTCATTAAAATAAACGTCAGGAAATACATAAAATACGAAAAAAATCCAAATTTTTATTTGCATGAAATATTAGCGCGTTCTTTAACTTAAGTTACTGAAGATCATAAACATTTTTTGTAATCTTGAAGCGGAACAAACAATTGGCATCTTTGTATACATATAATCTCAATATTATTAAATTTTTAAGAACTTTAGGACTTATTAATTTTTAAGATAGGAATTATTTTTAATCCCCCGTTTATAATTCACAATAAAAAAATTTACTGTGTCTTAAATGTCTAACATTGCCAGCGGATGATTAATATTTCATTACCATTTTTATTTCTAAATAACTATTATTCAAGCATACGACATACCTGATCATTCAGTGATTTCTCCATGGCATTGAGAGGATCTAAAGAATTAACGGATTCGTTTAAGTGCGAAAGCGGACCCGTTCCACTGACATAATCATTATTGCCGATAGTATTCGTCCCAGAATTTATTTCGTAGGTTCCACCGGACGTGTTTCGATGATTTATGCTATTATTCGGATACGTGGAAGATGTGTTGTTCATCATCGAACCGCTCACAATACTATTCATATCGGGTGGTATATAAGGACTCATAGCTTGATTCATATCCCAATTGTTCATAGTTGGCATATTCATACTGCCTGGCGACATGGCCTTGGTTGTTCTCTTACAATCGTTTTCTTCTTCGGATTTAATACCAGTTAAATTCTTCGCAGGTTTCCAGTTAGCGAGTGAGTCTATCGTCACTTCATCAACTTCTGTGGTATTTAATGTATTCAAAATACCCCACATATACTGATCAACCTCTAGACCTTCCAGCTGTGCAGATTTTCTGTAAAATATGCGACATTTGTTTCATTTTTTTAATTCTAATAAATGCATCAGAATAAAGATTGATGATTTAGTTATACTTACGAACATACTGGACATCTCCAGTTACCTCGTTCGCAATTCATTTGCAAATATGATTCCAAATCGAAACACTGTATATGTTTGCACTCATGTCCTCTAGCTGGCAGTGTAATGCGTTTGTGGGTAATAGGACATTTTAAGAGTACCTGCACATGAGATGCGAATGATTAAAAATATTATCGATAGATATTTTTAGCAGAATTCTAGGATTTTAAAGTATTATACGATGCTTTGTGAACTTTACCTTTAGTGCTGTTTGTTCCACTACATCTTTTTCCGATTGCATGCTATTATTTGACATGGTATTACTGAAGTTTCTTTTGATTTTCGTTATACAGTGCTCTGCTGTCAACAGCCTCTTACGTAGTAATCCATGAAGTACACTTCGCACACTAGGTCGGTGAACCAATTGAAGTACGAATAGATGCGACTGTAATATATTATAATATCATAATATGTATTCTCCACAAAGAACGTAATTATAATTTAAAAAAACGAAAGAGGAAAAAAGGAAAGTTATTTTAAGTTCATTAATAAATAAACATGTACATAATCTTACGTAGATAAACTTGGTAAAATATGTAATCTATCTACACGAAATGAATATTCGTTCTTAAATGTACAATTCACAATGCAAAGAACATCTTATCTTCGAATTACGTAAACGCTATCGTTTAATTATTGATATCCTCAAACTTACACAACAGCATGCTGATACGGTAATCTGTATTGTGTTCCTTCCTGCTTGACAGACGTCCTTCAAGTAAAGAGGCTTATGGGAAGCTTTGTTATCTCCGCGGTCGATCACGAGGGGAGTTGCATTAACGGAGACTTGCACACTCGCCGGCCAATTCGTGTTCATTTGTCTATCTTCGTGGTGGAAACATTTAAGCTGTAGCTCCAAATCTGATCGCCACACTAGCGTTTGATGTACCGTGGACTTCAGTTGAAATACATGATTGCTAACAGCCAAATTATGCTCTAGGCGGAAAGGTGGAAGAATTATGCCGTCTCTTACGGGGAATGTTAGTCTCAATTCATCATCTGAAACAAATAGCAAAGTCTCAATACAGCGTTTTAAAGTATTTGTATATAATGCAAAAGCGTTATATTTCGCAAATAAATGTTTTAAAAAAGGCATCTACATGTCGTGCGCATTAAATTTTTCAATTTTTATATAACATACGTTATTCTGTAATTTGGAACTAGAAAAATGGATATTGTGCATCTGATTTGATTCTCTTTTGTTGATATAATTTCTAAACTCAAGACACCAGCTGTAATTTATATTAAAGCGTAAGATCAAACTCTAAAAATTTCACTCACTTTGAATGTTAACGGGGGATTTCATCTCATTGAAATTAGGCTTGATATCTGGATTCGGACTGATATAAGGTGGCATGCTAGTGGCGGGTGTCAACGGTGGCGTCGGATTGCCGGGAATGGGACTGTGCTGATAATTCACGTTGCCTCCATTCGTCGATCTCATCGACACCACATCTTGTTGATACTGACTGGTTACCACGGCAGACGTTCCGTATGACGCATTACCGCCACCGTATCCCGCGTTTGGCTGATGACCGACGAACTGGTTACTAACCGAGGTAGGTGGAACCATGCAGACACCAGGAACGCCGTTACTACCATAACCATATTGGTTTGCGGCGGCCGTCTGAGACGGAGTATTGTAAGTCGGCGCTGTTTGCCTCATATTCGTTCCTCGTATCATCGTATTAGGTCCGAAACCGGGCGCCGTGGGATTCATGGTTTGCATAGACTGATACTGTTGTTGAAAATTTGGCCTCGCTCCGGTAGGATAGGTATTCGGATAGCTCGGGGCCGTTGTCATGCCATTGAAACTCTGCTGCATAGTCGCTGGATTCTGAGCAGCATACGGAACCTGCTGTCGCTTTTGCGCCATATGCATGGCTGGGTTCGGATAAGGCGCTAATCTCCGTGGATAACCTTGATGCGGCTGAGCCTAAAAGCACAAAGATATGGTATTATTATCAGGAAGAACAGAAACGCGCCTTCCGTTAGCCGAGATACACGCTATTGTGACAAGCTAGAAATAATCATAACAAAAAAAGATTGATATATTTACACAGAACAAATAAATTTCAATAACAATTTATCTCTTGGCGAATCACGGCAAAACTGAGAGACGCAGCTAAGTACATTTAGAATGTTAGGCGTTTAGATAAATACCTGCATCTTGTTCATTTGCATATTATTGGGTCCCATCATGTTGTTCATGGCTACATTACCCATGTTACTCATGGAGTTCATGGATGTCATTCCGCTCATAGCATTCATACCGCTCATACCGTTCATACCGTTCATTGCTCCCATTGTCATAGGATTCATCGAGTTCATGCCATTCATACTGTTCATCGAATTCATGGAATTCATAGTGTGCATAGGACTCATCGTGCCCATGCCATTAAAGTTGTTCATCCCGACTGGCCCCATTCCTGCCATTGGTCCTCTTTGGCCGTACCCCGCATTGTACGTTTGGTGGGGTATTCCATGTTGGCTCTGCATCTAATAATAACGGTTGACATGAATCTTTATTTAAAAGTTCATAGAAATCTAAAGCAGTAAATAATTTATGAAAAATACCAAATATCATGTGGCACGTAAATTTTAAAATATATTTTGTTACGAAATTATAAGAGATTTATTTTCAAGTAATCGTTCATCGTTCAGTAATTTAACACATCAACTATTATGATCAAAAATTTATTTCTTTAAGAAATAATATCATCATACTTTCAAAATGAAACACTAAAAATGAAAAAATTATAAACTAATGCTAATTAATCGATGCAACGATGGAATAATAAAATTTATAAATCGTAAATTATATTTTTCGCATTATAAAAACATAATTATAAACATAATAATTAGCATAATTAACATAATTGTTAATTTATTAACAAGAACATTATCTAAAATAAAAAAATTATCGTCATCTTATTCTTTCAAATCTTAAATCATCAAATACCGTGAATTTTTTTCTTCTCGTTATTTATATTCTCGTTATTCATTCTTTGATGTTTTATTATAACGGTGGAAAAAAAATAACGGTAAAAGATATTAACAGGATCATATCATATTTTACCAATTCGCATCGCTTTATTTATACTATTCCGGATAATATTTCGATAGTGATCTATATAACGTATGAATCATAAATCACTATTGATAACGTCGTGAGAGCCAAACATTTACCTGATTGAATTGCGAGGGGATGTCCTGGCGGTCCTGCATGGCCACCACGCTGGCAGTGGCGGTGGCCGTAGCGGAGGCAGCTGCTACCATCGCCGCGACACGAAGTGGCGAACCACCCCTTCCGTTCTGGGGTGGCACTGTGCTATGATAGCCGGATGATAACGGCTGCACCCCGACACCTATCGCCGCCGTTGCTGATAGCGTTACACCACCACCGCCGATCTCCTCGGGAGGAAGAAAGAGCTTATTCGACGATCAGCCTTCACGAGGTAGATGCGAACGAGCGGCTTAATGGCGCACTGAAAACAGAGAGCGTGACTCATCTTAACCCTCCGTGAGATAAAATTATCTTTTTGGAGAATCGCGGCGCGCGGTGATGCTCGTCGTGATCGTTATAGAAATAACTGTGCGTTAGAGAAACTGCGGAGTTGGCGTATCACAGACAAGTGGCGAAGTAGTGTGACGCAAGCGTACGCCGATTCGACTCT